ATATATATATATATATATATATATATATATATATATATATATATATATATAAGGGTACATAGAAGTCAACACTTAGAGGCGACAGTTTGTTTCATGATAGATGCAATCGTCAGGCCACGAGTGCTTTTTTTCTCTCTCTCTCTCTCTCTCTCTCCTCTCTCTCTCTCTCTCTATATATATATATATATATATATATATATATATATATATGGGTATAAGATAAGAACAAATGGAGTACAATTCCACTGCAGCATTTAATTTTTTAAAAAAGGCTCAATACAATGTAGAGCTTTATATTATTTATTACAGAAGATTAAAACAAAAAATATTAACATGTTTTGTTTTAATCTCCTATGATAATAATAATAATAATAATAATATATATATATATATATATATATATATATATATATATATATATATATATATATATAAGCGATGATGTTTTGATTGTTAGTTCTTTCCAGGAGTCACATAGTAATTCCATTTGATGTCCAATATTGAAAACGAGCCTTTGCTTGTGAAAGCGTTGCAATAGTAAACGAAAGTGTCGATGTCTTGAATATTTTTAAAGTGGACCTCCACAACCAGGAAGCGAATGACGCACCTTATTTCATGACCTTCCTCTGCGACACTTATTGAATGAGACGGGCAGAATCCAGTTAAAAAACAGCAACAGACTGAAGCGAACTCAGTTATAATTTCGTGGGTCGCCATATGTAGTATGTCCGTCAAGCGTAGTTCTCTTCGTCCGCTGGTATTACGTTGTATGACAATGCATTGTATGAATACAGGACAGGAAAGAGAGAAAGCAGTACGGTAAACGGTCAAGTTATTTAGAGGATTAAATGACAAGAAGTTGTGGAGAGCCATGGACGCCTATTTACTGAAGGAACACAACTCATAAAAGAACTATATATAGAAAAGAAAATGCAATATTTTTTTTTATAAGTACAATGCAATTGTAAAATCTTTCCGCCCTTTTTTGACGGTATGTTTTCATAATCTACATGGCCTGCCTAAAATGCTTTTACTCCCACATTCAACATTGACAGAGCTGATAAGGTGAATAAGGAAACATGCATATTATAGTAAGATAATTATGGTTGGTACAGGAGCATCCTTTAGCCTTTAACAGATCTTATCAATAACTAATGAGGTGGGGACAATAACGTCTGTT